AAAAAAAAAAAAAAAAAAAAAAAAAAAAAAAAAAAAAAAAAAAAAAAAAAAAAATCATTGATGGTATAAAATGTTAAATAAAAAAAAGGAACGAAATCTATCCAAAAGATGTTACAAAGAAACTTCTCCAATTGGATGTAAGGGAGTTGAAACTATAGTTGCTAAAAGGTGGAACATGTTTACTACAGCATAAAGCCAAAAGTATGATGTGTTCGACTATGACATTGATGGATTCCTCTTGTTGCTGAATATTCTTGCATTTTTCTCATTCCCAGCAATCCATATGAAAGCTCTATTGATCTATAGAAAAGTAGTCTTCTTCTCAACCTTGAAAGGATGCTCAATTAGAACTAGAGACAACCAATCTTGCACCTTAATAGGGTCAGTCCATGTCCAAATGGAGCCGAGTGAGAAAATGGGACCAAATCTTTGAAGCAATAAGGCATTGAATGAAGTTATTATGTTTCTGGGACTCACTATTTGATTTACACAAACTGCAGCATTTTGTTGATAGAGCCCATCAGAAACTTCTTTGTAACCGGTCTAAGGTATTTAGGCAAGTGTGGTTGAGTGTTCCCAAAGGTGGAACTTGATCTTTTTTGGATAGAAATCCTTCTGAATGACTTTTCATAAGTTGGGACATTTTCGAGAATTTTCTGCCCATTGATTTGGTAGTGCAATAGCCTTCTTTGCCTAGAATAAAAACAGGTGACACTTCCTTATGAATATATTGATAAGACGAGAAAGAGGTCAACAAAGATTCCCATTCAGGTATTTTCTCATTCTCTAGATTTCTGCAAAAATTCATAACCCATGTGGCGTTTTTGTGGTACCAAAATGTCTGCCACAGAGAGATCCTTTGTTTTTGTCGATGCGAATAAAACAGGAAAAGCTGCACTTAGATTAGAGGATTTTGTCCCAACCATAAATCATTGCAAAAAATAGTTGACTGGCCATTTCCAACTTTGTATCAAATATTTGAATGAATAACGTCCTCTGGTTGTAGAATGTGCTTCCAACGGCTGTAGGAAGAAGTTTCTGACTTCCATTCTGACTAGTTAATCAAAATGAGAAGACCCAAAATTTGCTACAATCAACTTCCTCCATATTTTCAATGTGGAATCTCCAATACCACTTGGCTAATAAAGCTTTATTTCTCTTCATTAGATCAAGGATACCAAGCTCTCCATTCAACCGAAGTCATTTTACCTTTTCCCTCTTTAGAACATGAGATACTTTTTGTTTTCTTGTTACCAGATTATGGAAAATTTCGGAAGATCTTTTCTATAGCTAGGACATCCTTTCTAGGCAAAGAGAAAAGTGACTGGAATACAGATCGGCCAAAGTTGCGTTAATGATAGAAAGTCTATCCCTCTTTGAGATAAAAATGTGGCTGCAACTAAGAAGTCTTCTTTCTACTTTATCAATGATAGACTGCCAAAGGGATGTTGCTTTTGGATTACCATGAAGGGGAAAACCCAAGAAAGTGTCATAATAAATAACGGTTTGTCAAGTGCTAAATTCAAGAAGCATCATTATAAATACTCAACAAGTTCAGACTAAAGACCAAATAAGTTCAGACTTTTGTCCGTTGAAAAGGTTTGTTTTTTTCTTTTTCCTTGTGAGTGGAAGAATGAATGGTTTAGTCCAAAAATTGTAGATGATGAATTTGAAGTAATCAATTTTTCTCCGAGAGGAATGGGACAACAACCGTCTAAGGCAATCAACTACTAAAATAAAAAGATGAGCTGAAAGGGGTCACCTTGCCTTAGGCTAGAATGCCCAAATTTTGTCCCCCAGTTTTCCACCGATAATGATTGAAAAATTTTCTGATGACATGCACTCTCTAATCCATCTTCTCCATTTGTCTCCAAACCCCTTAACTCTCAAGATTTCATCTAGAAATACCGATTTACCTTATTGATGACCTTTTCAACCGCTTCTATACCATTCCTCAATGAGCTCGTTTGCAGTAAGAGAGGCGTCCAGAATTTGACACCCTGCTACAGAAGCTAATTGATTCTCTATGATAGTGCTTGGAATCACACATTTCAGCCTCTCCAATAGAATCCTGGCTATGATTTTATATAAACAAGTGGTTCAAACTCATCAGTGACATTGGAAATGGAGAAAGATAGGTCTATCAATGTTACTACTCTTGGTTTCTTGAAGGATGATCAAGAAGGATTGTCTTTGATAATGACGCCTTTGACAAGAGCATGTTTTTCTTCAATATTGAGAGAATAGCTAATATCTTTCCTATACTAAATTCACAAATACGTAGCTCCACATGAGAGCCCTAAACTAAAAGAATGTAAAATTACAATAAAGGGAAAAATGTAATAATAGGTCTGTAAATCTGAAGTTATATACATGAATGCCATGATAATATATACTATAACACACACACTTCCGCCAATAACCCAATCCCTTGAAATTCCAGGATAGAATAATCATAAAATAGATTTCGACTCTTCCCTGTGTTGAGACAAGGTCTCTTTTTCATATTTGATGGTTGATTGGAGTTTCCTCTAGTCCCTTAGCCCTAGACTTTGTTTTACAGAGATTTTGTTTTATTTTTTTTAATGCGCAGACCGCAATCCTCCAGACAAGGTGTTATGACCTGTAAATTAAGATAAGGATGAAGGGCAGAGGGATATGGGAGCTGAAAATGGTGGGCAACATCACAACAGGCTGCTTTTAAGGGAGCTAACAGATCAGTTGATTAAACATCAAAGCATCAAACTTCACAAGCTCCCAAACCTCCACCCTAGATTTCTCAACATCCCTTATTATCTTCATATTCCTCTCAAGTCAAATACCCCACTTTAGCACAAGACCTACTTCTGGTAAGCTTTTAATACACAAAAAGCTTATGCAACACGGGTAAGCTTGGAATTGAATAACATCCCAAATATCTCTGTCCTCACTAGAAGAATTATGGAATAGTTTTTGATTTATTTCTTTCAAAATTCCATCAGAGCCATAGGTATTTAGCTGCACAGGTTCTCAATACTTCGACATTGTTTTTACCTGGAGGGAAAACAAAGTACTGTTGAATGTGTCCAACAAAGAACTGGGATTGGCTGCAACAGAGCTTGTTGTCAGATAAAGGATGTTCTCCTAAAGCCTCATGTTCGTGATAAAGGAAGAATTGTGTGGCATGCATTTTTTTTCATTATTTTGTGGGCAATTTTATCTGGAAGGAACAAAATGATCTTTAGAGCTTGATCTCATTCTTTTGGATTGGGGATTATTCTTGTAGTTAGTGTTAGGATTCCTTTTTCTGGTTTTTTATGCTCTTGTACATGCTTTCATTTTTCTCAAAAGAAAACTTTGTTTCGTATTAAAAAAAAGAAAAAGTACTGATCTTATCTTCTGGGCTTTACATGATTATTTTCTAGACTGGGGCCGCTTTTGCGACAGAATAGACTACAACAATATATGTTTTAACTTTAAATTGTTCCCTTTTTAGGTGGGAAAATAACTGAGAAATGAGAATAGTCCTTCCTTAACTTGATCCATGTGTTGTTCATTTGCCTCGTGTATGGCAGGTTGTAGCTTCTTAAAGAAATGGATTCTGCCTTTAATCGATCTGGCAGAACCTATTACATAACAACCTTCAATTACTATGTATCTTTAGAATATTACTTTTTTATTCTTCTGATTTTTTAATTTCATATTTTCTTACGTGGACTTGTTAAAAGTTGGCACGTTTAATTTGGTTTATGGTTTTATTTTGCACATGTTTCTTGATGGTTAATTCCTATTACTTTAACGTTTACTGATGTATAGATATGTAAAAAGTATTAATATAACTAAATTCACCGTAATCCATCAGCTTAAGCTTTTGGGCGGATTGGTGATTTAATATGGTATCAAAGTAAGAGATCATGTGTTTTAACTGTGGTAATGCATTTCCTCGATTTACATTTGTTGGACCTTCAACAAATTTTCAACCCCATAAGTGAGAGAATGCTAAAAGTATTGATATAATTGATTTATGGTAACTCATCAGCTCAGGCTTTAGGGTTGAATGACAATTTAACTTTATTTTTATTTCATGTGATTAGATTGTGTAGTTTCTTCAAAAAAAATCCTCGTCTGTGAATATGCTTTAAGTGCCTGGAAACATGATAATAACAATAAAAAAAGTGATTATAATAATGATGCTATTAACATGCTGGTGCTGGTGCAGCTTGCAAACATCATGGGTCGATTCAGTTGGCTCACTTGTCCAAGAAAGGTGATTCTCTTTTAGTGTCCTAAATTTTTGTTTTAAAGATAATCATGTCTACTTATCTGGGATACAAATGCAGGATTTATCAACTGGGTGGCTTCACTGTGATCCGGGTCCTTTGTTCTCACCAGAATATTTTACTTTACCTGGATGGATTCCTTCATGGGTCAGTAAAGTGGTATTGCTTGAATCTGATTATTATATATGTATGTGCGTGTGTACTTTTAGTACTTGCTTTTCAATTTGCTTGATCTGTGTGTTTTTTCCTACTAACCACATATGTTGATCTGGGAAAAACAGTCCCAGTTCTCCTTCTCAAGTTCATCATCATTAGGCAATCTGAGAACCCTTATTTACTATTCATCAGTCACAAACGTCCAGCTTCCTTGTTTCTTATCAATAAAAATAAAAAATAAAAAAACCAAATGTTTAGTTCCAATTTTTACAATCTTGACATTTAATTCTTAAGATCTATCTCTTTAATTGCTACAAGCCGTTGGTTTTAACTAATTTGATCAGTACAAGCAATTGGCCAATTATAAAAATTCATTAGTTTACCTTTTTTCTTTTTTTTTTTTACATGATTTAAAAATCCAATTCTACGATTTTTACATGCGAGAATTACATAGCTATATTCTCTCAGGTTTTTTCGTAAAGAAAATCATTACATTAACCCTTTCTTTACCGGGTAAGAGATAAAAAGATAATACCAGAAAGCAGGGATACAGCTTAGAAGGGCAGGGAGAAGAGGGATCCCTCTGCCTAGCTTGCTAGAAAAATGTGCTTTCAACAATTTTTTTTTTTTTTGAGGTTGATCCTGTCTTCTTTCTGGAAGTGTTTCATTTTGACATCATATATTCATTTTATTTGAGTAAACAAATCTTTTAACTTTCACGCCAGAAACATTGACTGAAAAGGTATTAGCTATGTGGACACTCCATATTAGGTTTTAATATATAGTCTCAGTTGGTCAAAGATGTTTCTGGAATCCATCTACCAATGGAGAAAGAGAAAAAAAAAAAAAAACATAATCGCTGTCCAACGATAGGGCCAAGGATTGTGCTGGTTTGCACTAATAGCAATATAATTGTCATAAATGGAGATGATGGTGCGTGAGCTATGGAAAATGATGACACCATTCTAGTCTTATGTTCTGTCATGCTCTTTTTCGTTTTGACCTTGTTGGACTGGATCAAAATAGTTTACCCTCTGTCGGAAGCCGGAAAGCTCTAACAGATGGATTTGTTTGAGATTGCCAATAAGCATTTTTTATTGCATTCTTGGAATAGTCTGCATTCTATGATTTGCGAGCTTAGCTGTTTCTTCTTGATGTTACAATTAGTTCTTATTTGCCCATCTATATTCATTTTTCTAACTTAGGTCATTGTTTGGCAGTTCCCATGGAAAGATGTTACCATTTTGCGAGTTCAGTGGCATGCTATATTTCTTGGTTTGTTTGCATCAATAATAGCTCCTTTTGGTGGCTTCTTTGCTAGCGGCTTCAAAAGAGCTTTTAAAATCAAGGTTCCTCATTTTTCTTATGTCAAGCCTATCAATTTTGTAACTTCATAAATATGACGCAGTTGTATCCCTTTGAAGGATTTTGGTGATAGCATTCCTGGACATGGTGGAATCACAGATAGGATGGATTGCCAGGTATGCTGAATTAGTTTAGATGGTAAAGAATATTTTATCCCTAACATCACATATACTGGCTGTAAGTTTGAGTTTTCCCTCTTTATTTAGGTATATTGGGCACTTGGGTGAATTGGATAGTAGATGACTCGTCCTGGTCATCATACATAACTATCCAAGTTACCCAAGTAAACAACTAAATTTAGAGGGAAAACTCAAATTACAATTATAAGAACCCTCCCTGTGTTGTACACGTTCTTTGTTTAGCAGTATCCTCCCGAGAAAAGACGTAACCACCATCTACCATTCCTGACTTTGTAAAATGAGGGGAGAGAAGAAAGGTCTTTTAAGTATTGAGATACTCACCTAAGGGCTTCGACAATCAGCTTCATTGTGTTTTTTGTGTTCTTACCCAGTTTATGTAAACCATATTTACTGGAAACAATTTTGTACCAAAGAGCATCCTTCTCCTTCAAGAATTTCCTCCATAGCCACTTTCCGAGTGGGGTGTTTCCTTTCGTAATATTCTCCTTCCCTTCCCACAATCTGAAGGCAGAGTGATGATCTTCCATCACGCTAAGTGGCTTCTCCTCTCACTATCGTTGTCTTCCTCAAATAATTATTCTGTTATTGGAAAATCTCCTTGGCTCCTTTCACTATCGTTTTCCATTCCGTAGTTTTCCCCCAGATTCTTACAATAAGATTCCTTAAGCATTTTGAGGTAGGCTTTTCCTCAAAGGCATTCTATGTAGTTCAAAGGTCAAGACAGAAAGATATCCTACCTCTTCGAGTCTATTCCTATAACAATTGATCCCAGTCACTTGAAATTTGGGAGGTTAACTTCTTAGCATAAGTCTTCTTAAACACTTGAGCAGAAAGCATTTGTAATGCACCTCTTTACTATATATTAAAAACGGAGGAATAAAGTGCCTTGGGGCAATACAAAAGCAAACCTAGCTGATTAGAAAGGGCTGGCAATCTCTCCCCTGCCTTTTACAACTTTCTACAACAGATAAAACATGAAAATCCCTCCTCCATTCCCTTAGGTATGTACCTTTAGCATTCCTCTTCCACATTCCCTTCATGGTTCCCCCTACCCTCTAACCTTGTAACTTGTCGAGGGTAAATTTCCTTTTTTTGCCCCTTCTCGCGTACTTAATGGGAATTGGGGGCCTAACCCCTTGAGACAGAGAAACCTTGTCCTCAAGGTTGAAGTTTGGAAACTAGAGACGAAAATCAGCAAGTGCTTCCCAAGTAGCTTCATGTTCTGGTAAGTTTTTCCGACCAACCATTCGGTTCTTCTTGTGCCCGTGCCTTCTCTATGTCCCAGGATATCATTCTGTTCATCCATATGCTCACAGTCACCCGTCTACAATGGAGGTCCCGATTGTGTCAACAACTCTCCAAGTGTCTTCTTGAGCTGAGAAACATGAAAACACAGGATGGAACGTTTTATGTCTACCAAACAAAGCTCTTATAGTTCACAGGCCCAATCTATTTTTCCATGTAATTAGGACCAAAGTACTTGGCTGCCAACTTTTCATTTATTCGTTTGGCAAGAGGTTTGGCGATATTACCTAATTTTGAGGAACACCCAATCTCCCACCTCATACTCAACTTCCCTTCTTTTTGTTTATTTGCGAATTTTTTAATTCTTTCCTGAGAGGAGTGTCGGTGATCCTTGAGAAATTTCAGAACTAAATCATGTTCCCTAAATTGTTGATGAACTGTTGAGTTGGGAGTTCGTTGGTCACCATATGAATGGAGTTGGGGTTGCCCGTAAACAGCCTGGAATGGTGTAATATCGATGGAGATATGTAAAGTCGTGTTTTACCAAAAATCTGCCTTGCACAACCATTCACCCATTGCTTTGGTCACTCACAACAAAAACAGTGTAAGTAGGTCTCAACACTTACCACTTCGGTTTGCCCATTGATTTTGGGGTGATGCATTGTATTCCTTTGTAGTTTCGTGCCTAGAGTTCAAAATAGCTCAGTCCAAAATTGGCTGATAAAGACCTTATCACGGTCGAAGAAGATTGAGAGAGGGACCCAATGGAGGTTTACAACTTCTTGAATGAACACATCAGCCAAGGACGACTCGGCTATGAACAGGATTTAAGAGGTAGAAAATGGGCGTACTTGGGCATTTGACTACCACAAAAATTGAGTCATTCCCACACTAAAATCCATAGTGATATCCTCCCATGTACGACATGGTACCTCTAAGGGGTGTAATAGCTCTGTGGGAGATGCAGCCAAGGATTTGACTAGGCATTGCTTCACATATTTGCTTAGTGTCAGACCTCATTCCCTCCCTCCCAATAAACTAGTCTTTTATAAGTTCTTAAGAACCTTGAGTGACCCCATCACGAGGTCATGGTATGTCTGTTGCATTGCTGGGATTAGGGAAGACGTCTTTGAGAGAACGAGCCAACCTTTATACAAAAGTTTGCCTGGCTGAAAGGAGAATTTGGGCACACTGCCTGCATCACTTTCCAGGCTTTGGATGATTTGGCTAGCTTTGGATCATTAGCAAACTCTTCCGTAA